AGTTTAGGGCCTTTAGGCCCTTTAGGCAGAAGACTAGTTAAACTTGTTCCTTTTTTTTTTTTTTTTTTTTTTTTTTTCTGAACTTGCTACGGAAGTTTACCACGAAGCAGGAATTGTTTTCAAAATTTAGTATCTAGTATTTACTTGTAAACTAGGGAATTTCTGACTTACGTCCTTTAAAATTGGAACGATACAGGGATGATTAGCATGCCCCCTGAGCAAGGATGACACACATATTTTGCCCCTGCCATCCCTTGCCAGGGGTTAACCCCCCTGTGGTGCTTAGGCATGGGTGGAGGTTGGTGCATACCCTGGAGTAGGTATCTATAGATTCTATACCTTGGCATAGAAAGGTAGGTAGTGAGAGGAAAAATCGAGTGAAGAATATAGCTTAGTTGTTCTTTTCAAAAAAAAAAAAGAAGAAATTCTGATTCTGATTGATCTTGACAAAGATGATGGAAAATAATTGTGTTTGATGTTAGTACTTGTTGCAGCCAATATAATTTTCAATTTAGGGCCTCACCCCTCTGTATTGTGAGAAGTACAGTGGGGTCAGAAGTAAAAAGCACGGGAGTTCACGGGTCACTGAAGGAGTCGAGATAAGTGGGTCCGCTGCAGCCATATTCGGGCAGAAATCTTCATGACACTTGCAGCATGATTCTTGAGCCTAATATGCTCGTAGGCCCAACCGTACTGCAAGGTTCTCTGGAATGGAGGCCATACTCTGGGAGAATGTGGATTGCTGTCCGTAGCGAGTCAAGGAAGCTAACTTGGGTTTTCTGTTACGTTCAGTGTAAGTAATGAAACAGTGACGAGCATCCTTCCTCATGGTGTGAACACTGTGAACACTGTGAAGTGTCGTCTCGTCCGGCTGTGCACAATGGGTCAGGGCTCAGAAGCTTTTGATGGCATCACAATTCGCGAGAAGTCCCATAACGGTTATCACAACCATATTGTTATCCTATAAAGTCAGTATAAACAGACATTGACGAAATAAGCATATTGTGCGTCTATAAACGGACATTGACGGAATGAGGAGGCAAATGAAACGAAATAATGAAACAACTATCGCATGTGCACAAAACATTACCAATGTCAGATTCTCTTGATGAAGAACCAACCCCCCTCCTCTTGCCTCCAGCAATCAAATGTAAGCGACAATAATTATTATTATACAATGAATAATGTGCATGCCGGTCTCTTTCCCTACTGACTGACGAACGTGATTGATCACCCTACCACTAACCTAAACTACCCTAGTCTACCATCAACTGCTTGCTGTCAATGCCATATGCTCCCGGAGCCTCACTCTGATGTACAATCAAGAACATGCGTCACTGGAGCTCGCCGACTGAAGACCACAGGTGAGTCTCCTCCCTCCATTTTGCCATGGCTCCTCTCTTCCATGAGGTAAGCCGTGCGGTTGGAGACTTACCTCTTCTCTCTCTCTCTCTCTCTCTCTCTCTCTCTCTCTCTCTCTCTCTCTCTCTCTCTCTCTCTCTCTCTCTCTCTCTC